AATCTGGGGCAAAAGTTTTCTGAATCGGGAGAGAGACAAGTGCAAAGGCACAGAGGAAGGTGTGTGAGCTGCTTAGAAAGCACCCGGAAGACCAGTGTGACTAGAGCAAGGTGGGGCTGAGAGTGGTGAGTTACCAGGCCCTTGTAGTCTGTGGTAAAGGCACTTTCGATACGAGTAAATGCCACGACTCTCGGGGGTCTACGTTGTATTCACCCTTTGTTATCCAATTAATTTTCATCGACTCCTCTCATGACATGATCCTAGATTCAGTGGCTCTTCAAATGAAATTCTCTCCCTAAAATGTAAGGCAGAGAGGAAGGCGCTGTGAAGCAGCCATGGAAGCTATGCAGGAGAACCCCTTCCTGTGGTTGCACCTGAGCCCAGCGCTGTGCAGCAGTGCCAGGCCAGACACAGTGGCCTCACTCCCCACTCCGAATGGCATGAGGAAAAGACAGAGCAGCCCCAGCATCTTGGGGACAGTGCTGAGCTGCAGACTGAAGCTTGGGACCACTGATAGTCAGGCTGCCCGAGTGAAAAATAATCCACATTGTATTAGTTAAGGCACGGTTTTATTATTTGTCATTAAAAGTATCTTAATTGACACAGTGCCTACGAGGCAATTACTGTTGTTCATACCCGTTATCCAGATTAGAAAATTTAATCATAATGGGAATTGGCAGTTTCAGACAAGTCACGCAGCTGATGACTGTCAAAATCAAACTATTTATGAACTGTATTTAAATCAATCTAGTACCCAAGCCATTAACTACAGTGTGATTACTGCCTCTCAAATCCCCCGCTCATGTAATAATAAATGCTTATCCAGCTATATAATTTACACTTGACAGTGGTTATGATCATGAACATGGCAGGAGAAGATGGGCTTTTCTTGATTCATCAGTGTGTCTTCATTGACCTTCATTCTTTCCTTTATAGGAAAAAACAAAACACAAGCGAGATACCCACCAATCACACAAACAGCGTATGTTTTAATATGTTATAATATATTGAAAATATTTAGAAGTAATCAAACACTATGCTTATAAACACATACAGGCCATTTTATTATGTATTTTAATATCTTTGTCTATATATTGGTAGATGATGGGTGGGTAGACAGATACATTTCTTAGACAAAAGTAATCTCTATTTGTATAAAATTTTATCTGTAGGTCTTCTGATTGCGCTTTCAATGTTCCTGTACCCTTTAACATAAGATCTTGAAAGGCAAGGATTTAATAGGCTTATATCCCCACAGACTTCTCTATCATAACACGATAGACACAATAGAAGTTCAGTAAAACTTATTGAATGAAAAAAGAGAGCAAGAAACCAGAGGATACACATTTGAAACTCAACTTCTACACACAAAGAGGGGGAAGCTGACTGTATACCATACCATAGGGTAT